CCTGCTTCCAGCCAGCCTCTCATTCTGAATTAGAGTCCACATAGGGAGGCATCTATCTAAATAATGGGGCAACAAGGGCCGTCCAAGAATTCAAAAAGAATCAGTCAACTGCTGTTGCACCTGGCCCAGGCTCAAGGTGTGTGGGGGGGGACAGGTGCCAGAACATCCATCTTGTTTATTCCGCTTACTGTTGCCATTTAAGGGCCGCAGGCCTTGTTCCTTGATCACGGCTCAAATGGCATCAATAATTCAGGATGTGAATAATTCACTCCGCTCTGGCCACAGGTGAACGGAGAGCGGGTTATCGTCCGTGTAGCGGCCGAAAGGGAAAAAAAGAAAAAGATAATAAAAACAGCTGTCCGTGTCAAGCGCTTTAGGGAGGAGACGGCGCTCTGATCCTCCTCCCCTTTTCCCCTGAGACAGGAAGTCGCTGAGCTGTTTGTTTAATTTATCCCCCGTGACTTTAGCTGTGGTTCCCGTCAGTCGACGCGCAGCCCATCTTCTTAAACAGGAAGTGATGCGGTACGAAGTGCGCAGTGGGGAGGAAAGAAAATGTAACGCCGCTAACTGCTGTGAGCGTACATGGGAGGCCTTTCATTCAAAGGCCTGAAGTCTGATGTTTATCATCCGCAGGCGTGTCGTAAGGCACAATGCCATGCAGTGGAACCGGCAGGAGACCAAAACATGTGTGCAGTTGGAGCTTGATTGGTTAGGATGTGTGTGACAACATCACATTCGCCTGTACGATAACACGTGAGTCGACACAATCGGTTTCCCTCGGAGACACGGAGAACTCTCACAGTTCTCAGGCTGTTTGAAAGTGGAGGGGGGGGGGGGGGCAATGTGGGGCATCAGCAGAAAATCACAGCACCATAAGCTTATGTTCTCAGGGGGAGGGAGGTGCAATGTTCTCATAAGGTGATCCGTCTACAATGTCAGGCTCAAATCAAAACTGGTCAAATTCAGTCGTAATGGACACGCAAGCGAACAGTGTTCAGATCGTTAGCGTCTCCCCGCAAAGGACGTCAGTTAGACAAACGACCGTGGGGCCCGTTCTTGAGCTCCGGGTCCCCAGCTCTTGATAACAAATTTGGACCACCGCCACCCCCCCCTGCAGGTCCCCGCGGCTCCAGGACGCGGCGGAAAGGCGAGCTCTGCTAATTGCAGGTCGGGAAGCCCCCACGATTGGCAGAGCACCGGAGGCCGACATTAGTACCGTCCTGAACTTCATAGCCATTTGTTATACCCTGAAGGGGCCGATCGCTGGGGACAGAACGGAGGGACACTGCCAGGAGCGGAAAACCGGAGGCTGCGGCAGAGAGCTTGGACCTACCATTAATCACTACAGAAATCCCTCGCACGTTGTGTAGATTAAGTCTGACAGGTACACTCGGCCACCACGGGGATAACTGTAAACACAAGTGAAAAATTATACCGTTCGAAATGACGCCCACTAATAAAGCACAAAACGCGAAAAACAAGCAGTCGCAGTATGGCGTTAAATAAGCCGCACGCTGCCGTTTGAGGAGACTAAAATATAAGAGCTTCTTATGACCCCTATCATGCACTGCAATTCACAGGGATGGGAGCCCCGTCCGGCTACGGGTAATTTTAATCTAGTGGCATCCTCCATTTTTAATATTCATTCTGCTTTGTCGTTTTTTTTTTTTTTTTTTTGCTTCCCGCGCCGGCAAACAAATAGAGTGCAAAAACAAACAGCAAGGAGAGACTTCCCATAGGAATTCTGCGATTCTTCACGCACCGCGGTCTGCAGAATTGATGGATCTGTTCAGTATGCTTCCTGTGTGCCTCAAACCTTCTCGCCTCGCAGCAAGCAGAATCTTATCAAGTCTTGACTTTGTCCACGCTATTAGATTTGGAAGCCCAGGGAGTGTGTCAGAGATTAATAACAGCCGTGTAAGATGAAAGGACCCAGAAAAAATAAAATATAAAAATACATTTCAGCATTGTCCGAAATAAATTCACACCCCCCCCCGTGCCTAACTTAATGTAGTGAACAGGTACTTTAGACCACTGATTAAGTGAAAAATTTTCTCTTTTGTTCAGAACAGCTGATAATTCCTGCTTTTGTAGTAATGTATTATTAATTTTAATGGCAACCTTTGAATATACAATCTTATGTATTTGTAAAATGTTGTATTTTTTATAATGGTAAGTGTTGAGAGAAAATTGGAGAACATAAAATATTTGTTGTTTTTTTTTTTGAAGGTTAATATATTCAGCATGAATTAATTGCATTTGTAGTGGTGTGTTGCTTCTAACCTATACCCTGTATTCCACAGAGCAACTACAAATTAAACGAGCCTGCAATGTTGTTGTAGGCCATGTTTAAATAAAGCATGTTATGTTTCACTAGAGAATGGATTGAGTGGAACTTGCAAAATATTCATATATGGCATTGGTTTGGATTACAAGGGTAGGGCCTGACAAAATCTTGGAAAACAAAGTTCTGAAGTGTTTCGTCACGAGCAGAAAGCAAAACAAGATCTTGTGCGGTCTGTACTGCACTGTCGCCAATATGGCAGTGCCACAGGCATTGCATTTGTTTGCGCAAAGTTTAGGGACACTGATGTCATACATTTTGGCGAAGTATATAGATGGCATTAGCGAAGATGAAGGTAAATGCGTACATTTGGAAATTCTTAAAATGTCACCACAGCTACCAGCAAGGCAAACAAGGGCTTGTGTGGGTGGGTGCGTTTCATCTCCCCTTTGTCGCTAATTGATTTGCTGCAAACGAATGCGAGGTTCATATCCAATCAATAACATTTATGGAGGTAATAACATGGGGGATTTCCGCGATGAGGGATGAGAATGGCTTATCGTAAACCCTGCTGTGTGGGATCCAAGCGTTCCACCGCTACGGCACGAGCAGCGTTTCGCAAGCAGTTCATAAAAACGACAGAATAGAATAGAATAGAATATCCTTATTGTCATGGTACATGTAAAACTATAAAAGCTATCAACAAAATAAAAATAAATACAAAAATAGAATACGATATAATATAGGTAGATGTACAGTATCGAGCTAAATGAATTGAAGGGCAGTAGTGCAATCACAGACTCTTTTATCTGCATTAAGGAATGTAGAGCAACAGCAGCAGTCATGTGGATAAGAATGATAAGAATTACTAGCACTATAAACAGTTGTTAATTGGGAGGTGAAGGTCAGCATACTGGTGCATGCAGAACGCTGGTGAGGGTGTGGTGGGGTTATTTGAGTTTGTTGCTCCTTGCTTGGTGAAGGTGATTGATGGCTCTGGGGTAGATGATATTTAGGCTGGAAATGCAGAAGTAAATAGTGGGTATATCTGCAGCCTGGCCGGCCCACCCTTATGGAGCACGTGATGCAAAACGGACAGGAGTATGGCGCATTAATGCTTATTGCAGTGCATTCCAGCGACAGGGAGTTCCGCCCCCAGGGGGGTGGGTACAGAGGGCTTTCATCCTGTCCTGGGACTTCAGGTTGATTAATTACAGCAACAGCTTCAATGGAAAAACATAACATCATCTGGCTGTTGACCAGGAAGTAGCCCGACTGGTAAATTACTCGCACCTGCAAAAGCCAGGTGATGCCATTTTCCAGTCTAATGGAGATTTTCAATTAATCAGACTGGGCTGCGTGACGCGCCGGCTGTCGCGGGGCACAGCTTCCGCGCCACTGGCCCGTCGCTGGCGTTCCGGGTCGCATTTGAAACTTCTGAACTTCCCTCCGGCTCCCGCCACGCAGACGAAAAACATTCTGTGTAAACGTTTCTACTAAGAGAATGATTAAGGATTCGGCTGACCACAACGATGGCCTTCTCTCTCTGATGCGGTCAGGGAGACTCCATCGCAGCCTGAACGCCAACACTGAGTGACTTAAAACAAGGCACTGCCCTCAGGCTGTCAACACACTAAATAAGGCATCCTAATGGTGAACGTGCTAATCTTCACACTTCACACCATTCCTGACTTTTTCTTATTACATCTTCCTGATCACTGCCTTCTGTAAATAGTCACGTATACCATTGCTTTGTAGTTATATCATCTTATTTTACTGTTTTATTTCATTTTTAATCCTGTGCTGGTTTGGCACTCGCACCCGGGGATATTCCCTGCCTTGCAGCAGTACTAGTACAGACTCCAGACCTCCATGACTTTGAGGGCCAAACGGGTACAGAAAATGGATGGGCAGGTGTTATTTTAATCTTATTTATTTTTATTTATCTTTTTATATTATTTTACTAGGTACTGCATATTTCCCTTTAGAACATAATCCATGAAGCAGACGGAAAAAAGGATTTCACTACACACACGTACAACGTATGTTTGTGCATGTGACGCGTAATACTTGGAAGGGCAAAGGCGAGTGTGGCAGCCGGAACATACAGAAACGTGCATTCATGTATACGTGACTGTAATTTACACCTGTCGTATGTGAAAGTTAGTGTAGCATTTTAAAAATATTTCAAAAAGTAAAAAAAACATGATTTCTTTGTTGTACTGCTATTGCCATAAAAAGAGTTTTGATGATTTTTTGATTGTTTTTTCTCCAGCGTTCCTTGTCGTCAACATTAAAACGGTGCTCTGAGTTGCCATATGAATTACGGATGCGAGTGCAGACTTCAGAATACTATTTGAAAAATAGGAGAGGTCTCAGTGGATGAGGGGGGAGGGGTGAATTTTCTTTATGGAGATTCGTGGCTTTGTGTATGTATGGAGAGGCAGGAGATGTCTTCAGCTTCAGTCACGATCCCATAGTCAGGACTGCAAGGCTCCAGGGAGACCTCCAGAAAGTGAGAATGAAAGGGGTGATTTTATCAGCCCATCTCGTCAGCCAGAGATAAAGATCACACAGCAGTCCCTCGCTCCTCCTCCTTTTCAGTAGAACCTGTCTAATCTGCTCTTCTCTTTTCTTCTGTCTCTCCTTCCATCTTTGGTGCCTCCTGACCCCGCCCTCTGCCCCCCCTCCCCCTCCCCGCCTCGCTACTTCCCAGCGGCTGCAACGAAAAACAAAGTGAGAGGTGAGTGGTGATCTTCCCTGTACCCACCACCATACACTCACCCCACACATGTCACAGGAGTCCAGTGTTAAGATAAGGGAAACAGGAAGTGACATCACAGAGAGGACCATACAGAAGGTGTCCACCACATACCCCTGATAACACGCATACGTCTGCCCGACGTACACAAGTTACGTCTAATCGATGTAATACTCAAGTCATTTGCTGACTGGCAAGACATCTGAGCGAGGTCATATGTATTAGGCAACTTTAAAAACATTGCAGGATGATCGCAAAAAGGTCATCATTACTGCAGATCCAAAACTGACTTTGCATAGACGTCTTGCCGATACGCAAACGACTTGAGTATTACATCATATGCATGTAACTTGTGTACGTCAGGCAGACGCTGGCCAGACGCATGTGTGATATGTTGCACTGCTGTCATCGTATTTCCCATCTTCTCCAGCTTCTTTTTGGCCCCTGTCAGATGGTACATGGGGCTCCTGAAGTGAAACTTGACACTGAATTGGTTCTAATAAGTTACTGATGCGTTGGAGGAGCATGGATACCCTGGAAGATTCAGGGGGCCCCACACTGTATAGGGGCCCCAAAATGTAATAGAGGCAAAATCTACCAAGGGGAGGGGGTTTCATTTTTAGCTGCACCCCTGGCCTGGTGAATTAGAGTGTAGTAAAAACTGCCCACTTTCTATTGCGAGTGCTACTTGAACTCTTTGGCCACAGGCTAACGGCGATAGTGAGCAGATTTGTGCTTTGTGTGCAAGTGATTAAAGCCTGTATTTACACAGCATGGATCTAGGGAAGTGAGTGAGCAAGGGATGGGGGGGCGTGCCGCCTGGGAAGGGGAGGTCAGCTGACTGGGCGTGTTGTATTGGTTCAGTCCAAGATTTGTGGACAGAACTGATTGTATTCCTTGCCTGGTGGATTCATTATAGAAGTTTGCCATACTGGGGGTGGCACGGTGGTAGGGTGGCACGGTGGTAGGGTGGCACGGTGGTAGGGTGGCGCGGTGGTTAGCACAGACACCTCGCACCTCTGCGGACCAGGGCTCCGTCGCCTGGTTCTACGTGTGTGGAGTTCTCGTGTTCTCCCTGTGCCAATGTGGGGCTTCGCCTATTTTCTCCCCACAGTCCAAAAACATGCGACGGTGAACTGGAGTTGCCAGATAGATGTGATTGTAAAGGAGTACATGCATGTGCAGCGATGGGTTGGTGCCCCATCCTCGGTTATTCCCTGCCTTGTGCCCTCAGCTTTTAACAATAGCCTTGGAGAGAGAGCTTGATATTGGGGGAGACGTAATTTAATTACAAAATATTATTTATTAGGGGTGATACACGAATGAATCCAGATTAGACTTTGGGTTCAATTAAAAACACCAGGAACAGGATTGAGAACCACTACACTATGCCAACAAAGGTAGAAATGCAAATAAATGCAAACGAATCCTTCTCCGTCTTGTCTACTCTCCATCGATGATATTTGTGTGGTGAAGTAGGACGCCGGTCACTTTCCAGGGGCTCACGAGTCACCCCGTTATTCTATTGCCCTCCGCTCCAAACACGCGGCTTAACACGGTGAGGCTGACAGCAGAGAGAGAGAGTAACAAACGAAAGGCGATGTTCTGTGTTTGCTCGCAATTACCGGCTGCAGTCCTCAGGGACATCGGCAGCATCAGTCGTTCAGGTTGGCTTTTGGTTGCCATGGCAATTGATTTACACCTAAAACTCCAGGTGGGATCGCTTCCTGTTAGAAATGATAATTAAACCAAAGGGGATAGAACAACATCTACAGGGGCCTGTAGGTTTCGGGGACCAGGGCTCCCAACGTGGTGTCAGAAAGGCGCGTGCTGAGTGCATGCGGTCGCATGTTTTCACATGTGTATTTTTCCATGTCAGCTGAACTGATAACTCACAGCTGAGTTAATGTCACACAGTGGTGAGCTCTCACCTCAGCCAAGCCTGCCCTACAGGTACTCTACTGCAAAAACTGAGGGGACAGTTACAGTGTCCTATCCTAGTGGGGAACAGGAGCAAGTTAGAGGGATACAGAGGAACACATGACATCTAATTTATTTAGCAGTAGCCTTAATTCAATGCGACATGCATTTTTTCAGAAAGCAGGGTCACAGCCAGTCGTGGGTTAGGGACCATACTCAGGGGCGCAACTGCAAAATCAGTCTGCTGAGTCTGGGTTTTGAACCAGCATCCTATCCCTTTGCGCCTCGCACATCTTAGATCTCGCATAGTGACTTCCAGGGATTTTGGCATGAATGAGTTATTGATCACTGGCATCTCATTCAGATTCAGTCATGGGGGAACCATGACAAAACCCCCAAAGAACAAATTTGCACTAGACTTTCCCATGGAAGACAGACACCAGACGGAAACTTTAGGTATCAGCTGTGTAGTCTGATGGTTCTGATGCTCTGTTCTGTCCACACAGCAACACTGGATTAATATTCGATCTCTACCCGGACCCTAAATTGCAACAAGCAGGAGGAAAATGATTAATTGTAATTGCTTTGCCCTCCATGTTTTTCTGGTTAATTTGAAGGCAAGAGCACCGCGGCAAAAATCCCAGTATCCGCAGCAACACGCAGAACCACAACGGTTCCTGTCAAGTAACGGAACACGAAACAGGAGTCATCGCCAGTCATTGTTCATTTCCGCGCGGCCGTATAGGAAATCCATCCTGGCGGTAATAGGGAAATGATTCGCGCCCCCGCTCCGCAGCCGGGTTGCCGGATCCTCGGGCCGCTCCCCACACGGCAGGATCTCCCCTAATGATTGTCGCGTGGAAGAGGGAATTTCCTCAACACATGCAACTGGGTGTTGGGGGGGTGGGGGGGGACAAAGGAAGCAGAAGTTGGAGCAACTGTGCACGAATCACCCCGAGAATTTTCAGCCACCACGGCACGAAGCCGCCTGCGATAATGGAAGATGTGATAAAGGAAGGCATCACAGATGAGATGTCTTGAGTCAAAGCTGCACGAAGACTGGGGGGAAAAAAAAAAAAAACAGAGTGCATTCCATTTAAAAATGACTCCTGTAAAATATCTCCACTGCAACCAGGGGAGACATTAAAAAGAAAGGCATACAAGGCATACAAAGTGATATTGATTGCTTGCGCTGGCCCATGATCTCACACGTATGGTAGCTTCAAACACCTGATGCTACTGCACCAGCTCCTGCTTTGCAGCCACCATCCAGGGATCAAGCTACATGTATTTATGTCAGTCTTTCGTATTTTTGTGCAAAATGCCTTTGGGTTCGTTTCTGCAGCTGGTTCCCGAGAAACTACAATGGGGGCCAATGTGTTAAAGGAGATGTCATGGAAAGAGGAAGGACTGTGTCCCGTGTGGGGTTCTGGGTGAAGCCCGCGATAATGAAGAGGGACGCTTGAGGAGCTCAGATAGGAACAGAGCTGAAGGAAGGAGTGAGCATTGTGAGATAGATAGATAGATAGATAGATAGATAGATAGATAGATAGATAGATAGATAGATGGACGGACGGAAGGACAGATAGATAGATAGATAGATAGATAGATAGATAGATAGATAGATAGATAGAAAGAATGTAAAGTGAATAAATAAGTATAAACAGACAAATAAATAAATTGATAAATGAATATCAGTGATAATTAATGATAATGATAAAAATTAGACAGAGGTAAGTGAGAACAGAACGGGCTGACACTGATGGCACAGTTGGGGTGCCTGTCACTCATTTAAACCTGCACCCACCGTCAGTGACTATGCAGCAGGTCTGCCCCCCCCCCGGGCCGCCCCCCCCCCCCCAAAATCCCCCAAGCCCCATATCACAGATGTCTTTGGGAACCACATAGGGACTGGGTATCTATTCCCCCGGCTCCCATTTGTCTTCAGGTATTTTTGGAGGCCCCCCTTTCTTTGTCACACACCCCCGACTCAACGGCACTCAGCTTCCACGGTGATTTGGGTGGGTGTCACCCTTAAATGAAAGGACCGAACAGAGAAAAGGACACCCTTCCAGGTAAAGATGGGGGTGTCACACCGAGGGCCAAAATAGCTACGAGCTGCGGGATCGTACAGATATGACAGCATGTTCTGTCAGAGCCGGAAACCCCGCTGTGGCTTTGGCCTCCTAACTGGAAGTGCTCACAGATTGTGTTACATGCGCTGGCTTTATTATTTTTGCCGTTTTTTTCCTCTTGCAAAGTGATGTAAAGTGGCTCTCTTCTCCTCGTATACATACAGCATGCGTGGATCTCAACCAAAACAGTGAAAAAGAGGGAAACTTGAAAAAAAGTCTATGTTGGCCTTGATATTAATCCTGTAAGTTTACAGATAAGCTGGAAATTACAGATCGATTGTTTTTACCTCAAGTGGCTTTTTAGCTGATTGGTGGTATGTTAAAGAAGCACTTTACAGTTGTATAAACCATTGGTTTTACTCTAAATCCGCACACAAGCAGTTTCAGTTTTATCAGAAAAATAAATTCTGGTTTTGAGTGTGTTGAATCGCGGGAAATAGATCGGAGAATTCGCACGGCCCCCTGCCCCGATGAGTCTCTCCGCTGGCATTGTCTTCCATCCCTTGGCCCCGCCCAGGGTTGCGCTTCTTCAAGGTGGGTGTGGAATCACTCTTATTAGCAAACTTGCGAAAATCCTGATGCTCGATGTCGCGTGCCTGCCAGAAAGTTCACCTTTCGTCCATGTGAAATGTAACATCACCTTTCCGTCCTTTCAGAGAAGCTGATAGAGGTTTAAATAAAGTTCGGTCTGGGAATCGGTAGTTATAGCCAATTACTGTGTTGTTGACTCTGCGCGGCTGGATTCTACACAGGACTATTCATTATCACGCATTTCCAGGCGCCAAAGTGTGCAGCGTGACGACCTTCTACTTTGGGGTGGAAAATGAAAGATTTTGACAAGTCATTAAATGTAATCTGTTTAGAAAGCCTGGAAGGAAGGGGAGGTGGGTCCGCCCCCCCCGGGAAGCGAGCCGACAAGAGCGGGAG